TAAAGAAGGGGGCTGAGGGGTTGGGCCAGGACCAAGGTGCTGTAAATAAGGGGATGCCCTAGGCCAACCTGGGTCCCTTCCCTGTAGCAGGAATCCCACTTCGTGTCTCTGCCAACCCACCTGAAGGATCAGAACTCCTTTGGTGCTAGACACTGTGACCCCCAGATCTTCTTCTTCTCCCTTACAGAGCCATGCCATCCCTATCTTGCATTGGAGTGATGGGGCTTTCCTCCCTAGCCATACGATAACTAACGCAACAAATATTTATTGTGTGCTCCTACGTGCTGAGCAGCACGCTAGCTGTGCTGAGCGCACAGGGATGGACAGTAAGAGAGATTTATTCGTTGTCCCCAGAGAACTAACAGTTTAGTGCAGGAGGCATCCTCATCTGTGAAACTGGAATTGTCACCATGGATAATAACAGTTCCCACCTCACAGGGGTGCTACGGGGTTGAATGAGATAATGCAGGCCGGGCACCCACCAAGAGCAGGGCCCCACCCCCGTAAGCACTCAACACCACGAGTGGTGTGATGAGGACTCAATGGGGAGAGAGTGGCTTCTGGATACCCAGACCAGGAGCCCTGGCTCAGAGGGGTAGCAGCAGGGGAGGTTCCCAGAAGTAAGAGAAGCATCTGCCTCTTTCCCCATTCCCTGGGACAGGCTGTTGGGGTCCCCTCTGGTCAAGGGATGGCCGACACAGCAGCAGATTGCCAGTCCTGGGGCCTGGCCCTGCTGACACCAAGTCAGAGTGTGGGTTCCAAACCCACGACCCGGCCAAGTCCTACACCCCCGTCAGAGAAGAGCCCTGGGCAGGCCAAGGCACACAGGAAGAATGTGCGGGAAGGGGGAGTGGAGGCCTTGAGGCAGGGAATGACCAGGAGAAGGTGCAGTCACTGTCCTCTTTGGGGCAGAAAGTGGGGCAGGTCCAGCCTACGCTCCCTGGCCCAGGGGCAGCCCATACAGGCCTGCAGGAGAGGCTGAGGGGAGGGCAAGGGGTCCCCTACAGGATCAGGAATGGCTTACAAGCCCCAGAGCCAAGGGACGACCTGGAGGGGGCAGGAGAGAGGAGATAGGAAGGGATCAGGGAAGCTGGCAGCTTGGAAGCTGGTCCAGAATCCAGAGGTAGAGCTAAGGCACCTGGGGTTCCAGGGTGGCAAAGGAGGCCAGACCGAGGAAGGGCTCTCCACAGGAAGAAAGACAGTGTTTGGCAGTGTCAGGGTGTGGGGTGGCCCCTGTCTCCAGGACAGTCCGCTCTACACCACTTTCCGAGCATGACCAGTTTGGCAATCATTTATCCACTTAAATTCACCGTGAAATTCTCCACAGCCCTTCCGAGCTATGTGATTTGGGGCAAGTTACTGAACCTCTCTGAGCCTCTGGCTTTTTGTCTGAAAAAACAGGGTTAATAAGAACAATGAGTTCAACACGCCTGCCAGCACGGCAGGCCCAGAGCTGGGCTCAGAAGATGGAGGCCATGATGGGTCCCCCTGCACCTTAGTTTCAGATCAATTCTTCCTCGTTTAGGCTCCAATTTTTTGGCTCTGGACTCACAGGCCTGTGGTGGGTTTATTCAAAGTTCTTATTCAGAGGCAGAGACGGGGGCAGGTGAGCGGGATGCGTTCTAACCCATCCCCAAAACTGTCCCAGGCAGAAGGAAATGAGCCTGGGATGGCAGGTGACCTTGAAAGTGACATAATTGAGGGGTCTGTCTGCAAACATTCCTGCTGAGTCAAGCTCCCCATCTGATGGTACCCATCCCTGGGAAATAGTAAGAGGAAAGAGCAGAAAAAGACAACATCCAGACCCACAGCTAATTGAGTTGCAGGTGGCGGCTGGAGACAGACCCATTTGACTCTCCCCCTCTTTCCCCAAAATGGCCCTCAGGTGACGGAGCAGACCAAGCCTGATCTCTCGCAGGGAAATCAGGAAGAGAGGGGGAAAGAACTGGGGAGGTGGATGGCAGGAATGAGGAATTAGGCAAAGAAAAATGACCGACAAAATGCAGAAACGCCCCAGCATGCTTGCTTCCCAAACCTGGCCCATGAATCGAGGGGTGACAGGTCTCTCATCTCCGATGCCAAGAGCCAGGAGCTCCGGGCAGCCGCAGGTACTACATCTGCACCTGCCAGCACTTGGAAAGAGGCGATAAAGCATCGTAGCAGGGCCTGGAATGCTAAGTGTCTGCAGCTGGGCAGGGACCGCCTTGCAGCAAGAGCAGCAACCGCAGACGTCAACTGCGTGAGGGCCCTGCTCTCAGAGACAGGCCTGTGCTCCCCATCCTGCTGCAGGCAGCCTGCTCCCAGGGCAGGTGCAGACAGGACAGGTGCACGTGCAACCTAGCCCCGGGGGCAGCCCTAGGCTGGGGGTTGGCCCAGACAGACAATGATCTTCTGGATGAAGCCCAAGTGGGCTGGGTGATTTACTGAGGCGGGCAGAAAGCTGGGACGCTTGAGTCACTGGTAAATAAAAGTGGATCATAAAGCACTAGCTGAGCCAGACGTCTGGAAATACACCAGGGCCGCACACAGCTCAGAAGTGGGGCCCCATCCCCCAAATGATGATAATGCCATGATGTTTACACAGCACTCGCAGAGCAGTGCCAGACCCTGTTCTGCATTTTCTGTACTCATATTAATTGACTTAATCCTCACAACCCTAAGAAGTTGGTGGTAGTATGTGCCTGTTACATGCCAGGAAGACGAGGCAGCACAGAGGCCAGAGAGCTCAGAACTAACAGAGGCAGGGCTGCACCCATGCCCTCGCCGGAGCATCTCCAACTCCACTGTGCCTTCAGGCACCTGGGTGCTTGTTAGCATTAGCCCCTGACGGGGCTGCGCTGGGGTGGGGCCCGGGACTCTGCATCTCTGATAAGCTCCCAGGCAAGGCCTAGTCCCAGGCCCTCACCTTGAGCAGGAGGCTCTAAACTGCCACACCACCTTCCCATGGCACCTCTTCAGCTGCTGGAGGCATCTAAGAGCTCCTCAGTTAGCAGAGTCAAGGAGCTGGGGGAGGGTGTGGAGGCTTAAATGCCCCTGTGCACACCCCAGCTCGGCTCAATTCAATCAGAATCTCTGGGGGTGCCCAGACTGGGATTTTTCAAAAGCTCCCTGGTGACTTGGATGTGTGGCCATGGTAGAGTCATTGAGACAGACGATGGCTTAGTCAACGTGTCAGATTCACTCCTATAAAATGGGAAGGTTCCTGGGGTTCGGTCAGGGGTTTCAAAGGTGCTTTCAGGAAAGGAGTGGGGAGCCATCTCCCAGGCCAGTCGAGGGGTGTGGCTGGGGTCTGCTAGGGTACCCTCTTCTCATCCTCTGGGGCACCTGGGGAGGAGAGGGGCAGCTAGCAAGCCCTCAGCCTGGCATGCCTTCAGAGATGCCCCCGCTTCCCACAGTCATGAACTTTCAAGAGAGAGCAGACTCCGGCCTAGATCAGCTGTGGAAACTGAGGCTCCTGGCAAAGATGAACCAAACCTCTGAGCCCTTTTCTAGACCAGGCCTTGACCTTGACCCAACCCAGTCTTAGCAAGAATCCTGCTATGTCGGTTTATCAAGAATCCCCTGACCCTTGATATCTGATCACTCTCGATATCTGATCAGTTCCTCATCCTCCACCCTTGGCATCTATGCTCTTGGCCTGCCTTTAGCAAGAATCCCCTCCCCTCAATGGCTCCTCTTAGTAACTGTCCATCCACTGACCCCGCACTCTGCTCCTCGGCCGTAAACCCCGACTCGTCCTTCGAGTACTTGAGTGGAGCCCGATCTCTCACCCTTATTGCAGTGGTCTTGAGTAAAGCTTCCTGACCGTTTTAACAAGTGGCAGAATAATTTTTGCTTTAACACTCCCCTCACCCAAGGGAAAAGTCACCCCACAAAATGAGCAGCCCAGGGCGGCGGGAGGGCGCTTGGTGCCACTGCCAACCAAACACATTTTAGACTCCTCACCTGGGCATTCAAGGCCCGAGCAAGACTTCAAGGCTCAGGCAATGACCTCAAGTCTTATTTTCCTCTTACGTGCTCCCTACATAAAGCAAAACTGGATGCTTTGCTGTTCCTCATATACACCTGAAACTTCCTCCCATCCTGCCTTTGCCAGGCTTTTCTTTCCACCTGGACTGTCTCCTCCCCATTCTTCTGATCCAGCTGCTCTGAATCACAGCAATCTCTGCCTGGTCATGAGACTACTTACCCTCGAGTCTTCACTTCCTCCTGTCTTCCATAACTACACAACCTCCCCTTTTAGCTGGTTACAATGTTCCCTGGGATAAAGACTACATTTCCTAGACTCCTTTGCAGCTCATGTGGTCACATGACTGAGTTTTGACCTTTGGGATGTAAGCAGAAGCAATGTGTGTTACTTCCAGGAATGTTCTTATGTTATGCCTCTCCTTCTCTTCCTATTTGATGTAATGGCTGGAACTCCAACAGCCATCTTGGACTGTGAAGTGATCTTGAGCATGGAAGCTATACATGAGGCAGCAACTGGATTTCTGAAAACATGGATCATCACATCAGCGCTGGGCTGGCTGCTCCGGACTTGAACGAGAGAAAACTATCTTCCATCTTGTTTTAGCTACTGCTCTTGTGGAATTTTCTGGAACTCATAGCTGAACTTAATGCTATTGGATCCACCCTTTCAAACCCCTGGAGGCATGCACTCTGGATTCTTAGGTTTACCATCCTACAGCTGCATAGAATCATCATTTGCATCTTCTTCCCAGTTAAACAGTAAGCAATCTGAAGGCTGGGATTGTGTCTTCCCCATTTCCATGTTCCCCTGCCACGTGAAGCAGGGGGTCTCAGACACAACGCAAAGCATGTCTTCAGCCAGAGCTGAATGTCTTCTACCAGACCCACATAGCTTCTGAAGTCGCATGCCTAGTCTCAGCACACTGCAAACCTGCCTGCAACGCTGCACCCACGCAAAGTTGCCCTTCGCCCCATCGAGGCTGCATGCTCCACACCCCGCACCCTGACTCTCAGGAGGAACGTGCCCTTACCAGGATGTCCGAGTCCTCAGGTTTCTCCCTCGTGGCCGGGATGGAGCAGTTGTGGAGTTTGAATATCCAGTACTCCTTGGCAGTGACAAAGAAATTCCATGGCAGCAGGCCGCCAATGCCCAAGCTGAAGAAGATGATGTAGGTACCACTGAAGCGGTCCTTGGGCCTCTGCAGGCCGGGTGACGGGTGGTCCAGCAGCTTCTCCAGCAGCGCTTCCTGGTCAGCTCGGAGAGAGCTGCTCGCGGTTCTGTAGGTGGAGTTTGAACTGTAATGAAAGTCATCCTCCGATGACACGGCCACTATAGGAGAAGATGGAAAAACAGGGAGAGGGTAGGCGATCAGAAGCTGAGGCTGGGCATAGCTGGGGACTTACCCATCCTCCAAAGCTGACTATGCCCCCACCCTGGGGTCGACAGGGTCACCAAAGCCTGGCCGGAGAGCTTCAGGTTTAAGGAGTAGGGAGAAAGACAAGATGTCAGAACTTTACGTGACCTCAGGGGTCACCCCCCCTTCCCTGCCCCATGCAGGGGCAACAGAGGCAGCAGGCGAGTGTGGGGCTGGCTGGGAGTAAGGCAATGCAGCAGAGTCGGGCCTGTGGCAATCAATTCAGAAGGGCAAACCTGGTCTCAAGGCATTCAAATTTCCATGCAGCCAGAAAAAAAGGAATTGGACCCTAATGGGCAAAGAAGCCTCTCTAAAGTTTTTCAACTTTATGTGAGAAAAGTGAGGAGCAAGAAAGTGCGTAGAACATCCTACTATTTGTGCCAAAAAGCAGGGATGGGAGGGGTCGGGGAGAATACCCACACTTATTTTGTATATCCTCTGGGACTTCACTGCATACTTTTGTGCCTTTGAATTCTGAACTATATGAATGCATTACCTATTCAAAAATAAAGTTATAAATAAAAATAAAGGCATTCAAATTAAAAAAAAAACAAAACCACGGTATCTAGAGCGGCGTCGAGCAGCCAGTTTGAGACTTCTGACAGTCCACTCTCTCGTTTGTGAGGAAACAGAGGTCCAAAGAGTGGAAAGTCACAGGCCAGATAAACGGCCAAGCCTGGGTGTGCAGCTCCTGCCCACGTCCCCAGCTCTGTCCATCGCATCTCACCAGGGGACAGCCACTGGCAATCTGTGGTTGCACCTAAGACAAACTATTGCCTACACGGCCTTGGGCAAGTCACCATGCCTCGGAGCCTCAATTTCCCATCTGCAAACCTGGGGAAGCCTTTTTACAGTGGCCATGTAACTGCAACTGGCTGGCGAGGCCTGGCCCGGGGTAGCAGCTGTTGAACAGACGTCAGCATCTTCCCCGGCATCCTGGGCTCGTCACTTGGCTGGCCGGCTGCTGAATTTGGCTAGGAGACAGCAAGCCTGCTTCCCTGCTCTATCTAGCACCCAGGACGTGGCAGCAGCTTGATAAACGGGAAATATTTCCATAATGCTGAGGATGGGACACGGTAGTCCCTTCTGCAGCAGCTTCCTCCCTACACAATCTATCAATCGATAAAGGCATCTCAGCTCACACAGGTGGCTGAGCCTTCACCCAGAGCATCAGGCCAGGCGGGGTGGGGCCTGTCTTCCCTGGGGAGATGGGAACACCTGGCACACAGGCACAGAGCCTTATCCACCATTTCAGGAGAGCCTCACGGCATTCTTCTGAATTAGGCAGCACAGGAGTGACTGCCTCCTTTTTTTCAAATGCAAAGAATGAGGGCTTAATGGCGCTCGATTTGTCCCACATTCAAACAGTAAGAATTCCAATAGTTAAAATTAAACCCAGTACTCACGCATGCCAAGGTCTGTGCCTAGCATTTGAGCCTGACAGCCACCTAATACAGTAGGTACCAGTCTGAGATCCATTTGATAGATGAAGTGTCTGAGGCTCAGAAAGGTTGAGTAACTTGCCCAAGGTCACACAGCTACCAGATGCCAAGAGTAAGGTTACACAGCCAAGCAGTGTGAAGCCTAAACAGACTCCTCGGCTTACGAGGGAGAAGGCTGGCTGGCAATGTGAACCCACGTCTGCTGGCTCCAAGTACAGATGTCCCCTGAAGGCCTCGAGGCCAATGAGCTGTGAGTGTAGGCGAGGGCAGCGCTCAGGGCACCCTCATCAACGTTTGCTGGCTGAATGGGCTCTGCGCGGCCAGGATATTCTCCCCTGCTGGGGCAGTGCGCAGTCTGGAGCAGGCAGGCAAGGCCGCCGGACGCCCCAGCCCGAGCATCCGAGTCAGCAAGTCTATTTTAAACTCCCCTGGTTGGGCACAGCTCTTTCCAGCCTTGACTCCCGGGGAGCCCAGCACTAACAGACCAACCGGAAGGTGTGGTCACACGTGCACGTGCATGCACACACACACACAGCTTCTGAATTAGTGTTTAAAAATGTAAATACTACTGTGACCTGTGTACGACAACACACAAACGGCAAGTGGTTCTTTCCAGACGCTCCAGGTCCGGTGCTGGGTGCAGGGGCCAATGGCTGGGTCGCTTGGGCCCACACTGGGCTGGGGCCCATTCTCAGCTCCAGGGGTCTATTTGTCCAGGACCATTCAGCCTTGACAGAGCTTCTGAAGAAGGAGCCAGGAATGTTCTCTAGCTTGGGTCACAGGCCAAGGCAGCAGAGTGCACAAAGTCTTATTACTCTTTATAAAAGCTAGCTGCTGGCTTTTGGATTAAAAAAGAAAGAAAAAGAGAAAGGGAAGGAAGAGCCCCAGCGTCCCCAGCACAGGCTGGCTGTGGCCTGGTGTGTGCTCCTCAAGCCCCTGCAGGAGCTGGCCTGGCTTGGCCCTGCTCCCTCCCTGGCTGACCTGGGGCATGGGACAGAAAGAAGAGAAACTTGTGGGGCCTCAAGCTACTGCAGACTGTCCTCTGGCCAGGAACTGAGACTGGTTCCCAGGAGGTTCCTGACTCTGGCTGTCAATCTCCCCTCTGTGCCTCGATTTCCTCATGTGTGAAATGCGGGTAGGGGGCTGGTGAAGCTAACTTATGGGAAAGCATTGCTGGGAAACAGGGCACCACCCAGAGGCCAAGGCAGAATCGGCCCTGGGGTTGCGGACAACCCCAGTCTCAGGTTCCCCCATTTGGACCAAGAGTCAGGCAGCTTCTGGATACTGTGGCCTGACTTGTCCATACCCAGGCCCCCCACATCCAGGCGGTGAGGTCCAGTCTCAGGAACTCCCCGAGCAGGGGGAGGGGAGAAAGAAGCTAGAGCCCCAGCGAGAGGGAGGGAGAGCAGGGAGGAAGAAGAGGGACGGTGGAGGGGGACACAGCCAGAGGCGCCGGCCCGGGGTGCCGGGTCTGGGGTCCCACGGCTCCCGTGGAGCAGCCCCAGGAGGGCGGGAGCGGGAGGCCGCCGAGAGCGCGAGCCAGGGGCGCCCAGGAGCCTCAAGAGCTGGTCAGGGGCCAGGCCCGCGCCCGATCTCCGGCCTGCACTTACTGTCGCCACCACTCCGCCGCCACCGCCGCCTCCCGGGCCGCCAGGGCCACTGCGACTCGGGGCTCCGCGAGGCCGCAGGCCAAGCTCCGCCGACCGCCCCGCCTGGGCCCGGGCCCCGCCCCCGCCCCCCCCCCCCCCCCCCCCCCCCCCCCCCCCCCCC